CCAACAATATGTACTGAATATTATTTGAATAAAATTCAAACAGAATTGCAAGGTATTAATAAAATGTTAAAAGATGTTGAATCTAAAAAGACAATTCAAGATATTAATTTTTTAAATTTTTTGGAATTAATTTTTCATGGTATTATTAAATATTGCCACAGATTTGGAATTTTGAACCTGTATAAATCATTAGAAAATAAACAAGAGCCAAGGTTTGAAACTATAGAGTGGAGTTCATATCCACAACTAATGGATTTTATTTTTCCACAATTCCCATTGGAGGATGGGATGTTGACAGATTATCAGTTATTTGGTTTTGACTTTTTATTAAAAAGTGGAAGTTACTCGGATATTTTTAAGAGAAAAATTGGTGATTTAATTTTAATGAATCAAATAGGTCCTGGATTTGGTGTTGGATCTGGGTCTGGGTCTGGGTCTGGGGAAATCCCAGGAGCTGGTGTTGGATTGGGATTTGGCGAATCTGAACAAATTTCTGGAGCTGGTGGTGGAACCGAACAAATTTCTGGAGCTGGTGATGAAACCGAACAAATCTCTGGAGTTGGAGATGGAGCTGTTTCAGACACCAAAGATGAAAGTGAGTCTTCTTTAGATCAGCCTTTAATAATGGAGAAACTTCCTATTCAAATAGAGAATGAGGAAGATGATGATTTCCCATTAACAGTTGAAATTCCAGGAATAACTCCAGAACAGGAGATAGTGGATAATTTGGATTTATATTCATTATCAGAACATGATTTTTCTAGTAATGTGATTGCATTCTCTGAGGAATTAACATCATTGTTATTACCAAAACATGTAGAAGCAGCAATGAAATATTTACAAGGGTGTAATATAAAAATGTTATTTATAATAAATTCAAGAATAGAAACCGTAAAGGAATTATTAAATAGACTAAATTTAATGAATATAGGGATAAATGGTATTGAAAGAGAACTTTTAATGAAAGATGCTATTTCAAATGTATTATTAGGTTTATTAAAAAAATTGCAATCTTATTTGGAAAAATGTAGAAGCTTAAATAAATACAAAGTGGCATGGATTCATATAGCAGAACTTAAAGGAAAGAAAAATTTAATATTAAATTCATTACACCCATCATTTATAAATAGTAGTGTTTTTCCATTTTATTGTGATCATATCAATTTAAGAGATATTTCAGAATTCATGAAAAATAGTAGGTTAAAATTAAAAAATCTAAGACAAAGATTAAATAAAATGATTAATTATAAAGAAAAATCTAGTTTAAAAAAAGAAATATCAATATTAAAGGTATCAATCAGAAGAAATAAAACACTATTAGAGATATGTGAGAAATTTATTGATTTAAAACATAAAAATAATGGATTATATAATAAAGTTTTAAATGTTTTAAATAATTTTGAATCAAATATGAAATTAACTAAAAATGATATTTATAAATTTCATAATAAAATTGGCTCACAATTAGTAAAGGGAACAATAGATGAAGAAGAAGATCTGAATGGTTTATATAGAATTTACTTAAGTTTAGTTGAAGATTTAAATCGTTTAAATATTGATGAAATTAAATTTTTAGCAAAAGAAGAAGGATTATCTACAGTAAATTATTTGGAAAAAATGATCGATAATTTGAAAAAAGAACAAAAGAAAGGTTTTAGAAAGGAAAGAAAGGAAGAATATATTCCTCTAAAACCAATAAAAACAGAGGGAAAAAATATGTACTTAATGAATATTTTAACCTCTGATCCAGAAATTTTGGATTCTTATTCTTTATATTGTTCTTTTGTTAAACAGCCTCTAAATTTAGATGAATTAATTGTAATTTCAGATTATGATAAAACTAAATTAATGATTTTACTCGCCCAATTAAGTCAAAATTCATCAAAAGATAATCGGAGTAATATTATTGAAGGAGCAACAGGTTATGATCCCGTATTTGAATTAGGTGGATATTATCCTGGACTAATTGAAGATGAAATTCCAAATATTGAATATGAATATTTATTAAGAGATAAAGAAGTAACAAAAAAATACCTAAATTACATTAGTTTAGCCTCAGACCATAATTCCCCTCTGGAATTGATGGATTTCATTAAAATTCCAGGAAACCGAGAAAAGGATAATCTTATGAAAACTTTGGATATTGCAATAAACTTAGCTATTAAGGAGAAAGATTCAGATAAACTGCAAAAACAAAAGAAACCTATAGAACGAAGCCCTGTATCACCCCCAAAACAATCTACTAGAAAATCTCCAATGAAACAGCCACTTTCTCCAAATTGGCCAATATTATTCCCATTAACACCTCAAACTTCTACAGGGGGGAAGATAACAGATTTAGTTGTTAGACCAAAAGAACCAAAAGGACTTCCTCTTCTACCTTCTATTCCAACAGGACAAATTTCAAAACCAAAGTTGGTAACCCAAAACCAAGTAAACATTGCAGAGAATCTAAAGAGTGATTTTGAAATTTTTAATAAATACTTGGATTACTCTTCTGTTACACGAAGTCCTTTAGGCTTAGAAGATCTAATAATTTTTTCAAATAATCATAGGAATGAACTGATCAAGATTCTAGATAAAGCAATTTCTGAAGGAAATAAATCAACAGAAAATTCCGAGTATTCACGAAGTTCACCAAGAACTCCATTCACACCAGGAATACCAGTACCAGTGCCATTACCTGCACCTGCACCTGCACCTGCATCAGTACCGGTACCGTGGAAGCCACTAAAACCATCAGCAGCCCCATCTATTGGTACAAAAACTCAACTAAGGTTTTCAGGTGGAAGGTTGGATCAAAGTAGTGTAGATCAATCAAAAGTTTCATTAGCTACTCTTGAAAAGCATGCAGCGTTAGTTCAAAGTGGCTATAAAGCTGATTCTTTAAGTAAATTACAATTTTTACTCAAAGTATCTAAAACGGATTTAAATCATTTAAAAGCGTTGGAGAGATTTGTAAAAGGACCAATTGCAAGGTGTTCAACAAATAGATCATCTTGTAACAATTGTTTTGTATGCAATTCACGAAAATCAATTGATAAAGATATTAATAACATGGAAAAAGTAATTACTGCATTACAAGCTTTAATTGAATATTGTATAAAAAACATGAAATGATAAATTAAAATAGATATCATTTTATTATTGATTTGAAAAATTGTATATTCAAGTAAAAAAATTTACCAATAGCCAAACATTTTTCTAATCCAAGATAAATTTTCTATTTTGTAAATATTAGAGAAAAAAATTTAAGATTAGAATAAAAATCACTTATTAAATTTAAATATTATTCAAAGTAAAATGATGAGTATTTATTATTTTTTTTTCTTTTTTTTTTTCTTAACTCTATATTGATTACCATTTTCTCAAAGAAGACTACAGCTTAATTGCCTATTAACTAATATATCATAATTACTCATATTAGTAATTATTATATTCTCTATTTATGCGACAAATAGGTTTCAAATAGGAATGCAAACTTAATAATATTAGGCGAACTAAAATAATTTCAACTATTATCAACTATAATAAATAAAAGTAATAACATTATGTGATAATATATATACACGTATATATATATACATGCATGCAACACATGCATGGATACGTGTATTTATGTAAATATATCATCTATGCATGTATGCATGCGTTATATACACGTGTACAAATTATTCCACAACTTATAATAATATATTATTACAACTATTTATTCCAAAGGGTCTCTTTCTTCTCTCTATTTCTCATTCTTTAAGCTGAATCGAGTGAACTCTATTGTTTTTAGTAATAGTTTATACCAAGGAGTTTGAAAATTGCTCTTGATAATAAAAATAAAACTATTACTACATTATTTTAAGATTTTTTTTTTCCTGAATTTATTCAACTTGATTTGGCTTAAATTAAATTAAATAATTCCAATTCTGCTTGCAACATCAACAGCTTCTACATCTGGGGAAAGCTTTACAAATGCTTTCTTTCCATCTCCAAAAGTGTTAACAGTATTAACATTAGCAACCTTAACATCATAAAGTTTACTAATTGCATACTTAATCTGAGTCTTATTAGCTTTCTCATTAACTGAAAATACAATAGTATTTAAAGTTTCAACCATTTTCATTGCAGATTCGGTAGTTATTGGTTTTTTAATAATATCATAGCAATCCAAATTCCTTTGTGTTTTAATAGACTTTCTTTCATATTTTGGATTTCTATGTAATTTCAAAGTCTTTGGTCTGTAGAACTGAACTCTTGTTCTAATCTTTGTTGTTGAAGATCTCTTAGAGTTTTTTACTGCTTGTGCAGTCTTCTTAGCATTTGCTTTAGATGCAGATGCAGATGTAGATGATTTTGTGTTACCTAAAAGAAATGTAATTAGAACCGAATTGCTTGAAAATGATTGGTATAATGATATTCAGAACTCAAACCACAATATACAAAGAGAAGAAAAAAAAAAATCAAAGGAATCTCTTTTCTTTCTCCATCAGTGTCACGATATCTTTCTTTTTTCCTCAAATCTGCACATTTTTCCGCATTATCAGAAGAATCCAACCAATACAAATGACAGAAACAAAGAATATATGGAGACAAACGTTCAGCTATGAATAATTACCGATGATTTGTGAACGAATTGTGGATGATGAACTGAAATAAAACCAACCAATGTACATAAATGAACTTACCTTTCTTTGCAGACATTTTCTTCTTGATAATAAACAATATAAAATGCAACTATATGTATATATATATATATATGTAAATATATTCAAAGGATCTCCTGTTAATAAACAAATTAAACCTTGATTTTTATTTATTATATATATAATTCCTCGTTTTTTCTTTTAAGGTTAAACGAAGTTCAAAATCTTAATCTTGTCAAATTTTAATTCTTGGTTACTTTAATTTTTACTAATATTATAGTTTGGTTAATTATTTATTTGCCTTTTTAGTATACTATTATTTATTGAGACAGCTATGCCCGCCCATTCCTTTATTATATAATTAATTTATTATACTATTTATGGGCGTCTCATTCCAGCGGGCCCGCCCAAATTAATAATTTATTTAAAAAAAAAAAGTCGTCTTGTAAAAATTGATCATTTAATAACTTAACAGAATGGCGGGTTGCATGTGTTATGAATAATAATTTTAAAATTTATATCTACAAATTAGTAAATTTAAGTAGAGAATTACATAATTCACTAAATATTTTGTATTCAAAAAAAAAAAAATTAGTTAATTATTTTTAAAAACTTTGAATTGGACTGGTAATATTCTTACAATTAGCATTATATTGTTAATATTCAGTTTCAATATTTAAGATAATCAATTTATGATGATATTTATTTTCACTTATAGAATTTTTTTTACTTAATATTATAATGCTGGTTGTTAATGGTGAGACTCACTTAAGTACTTTACTATATTGAAAATTCCAATTATTTTCTTTTTCACCACCCTCTTTCCTCTTGTTAATATTATTAACTTATGTTTTAATATTTTCACTCACATTTTTCTCTTTTTGATGATATCAGAACAGTATTGAATTGTTTGACTTATCTCATCATGCTGACTTTCGTTATTTGTTTCTTTGGACAAATTCTTTAATGACGATTTTTCAACCCCAGTTTTTGTCTTTGTATTAAATGGGTTATTCATCTTAAATGATGATATTGTATTCACAGAAGAATTTGTCGCAGAAGTTGTGTTACTAATAGTGTAAGAAGATGGAGTGGATTTAGAAGGAGAACCTATTTGTGAGATAGTTGAAACTTTATTCTTCTCATCATTTATATTAATATTCTCTATGTTTGATTTGTTTTTAGCTTTTGTTGTTGTATTTTCCTCTTCTGATGCTGAACTACTTATTCCTGTTGTCTTACCAAATCCTTTATTAGTATCTATTTTACAAGTTTTTTCTGATTTCTCTTGTTCATATTTGGATCTCATTTGTATCTCCTGACTAATCTTATTAGCTAATATACGCTCACCACTCTTTTCTGCTTGTTCTAAAGCTATTTGAAAGCTTTTTGGAAAATTAAACATTCTAACTACATCAAATGCTGGCTCTACTAATTGTTTTATCACCAATTTCATGTACAATCTCATAAGTAATTTCTCACGTTGTAACTTATACTGCTTATATTGATTTGAGTCTTTATGACATGAAAATTCATCCAAAATTGAAATATTCCCTTGCATTAAGTCTAATTTTATTCTTAACTCATCAATAATCTCCCAAGAAATATTATTATTTGTAATACATTCATTCAAAGTTGGATCATTCTCTATTATATTCATCCACTGCCTTATTGAAGGTAATCCTAAAATTGGTATATTAAAAGGTATCTTAATTGTTGAATAATTCTGATTTGAATTATTTTTTGCCATTATTGGTATAGGATTATCTAATCCGTCTGGTAATTTTAATACATTAAAATGATCCTCGTTTATTCCCAAAATAAAGTATTTACAACTCGTACTTGATTCTAATAAACCAAAATTAGTTATTGGAACCCAATTCTCTTTTTGGTTCTTCCATTGTCTTGATAACATAAATGTCTGACCTGAAGTATCTTGTATTATTGGCACTCCCTTATTGGATATTCCACACCATTTTATTATAGTTTCTGGAGATATTGACATTATATCACTATATATTAATGTTTCTTGGCCAACATCTAAAAATAATATTTCATATGTATTACATCTTCCTGATATTATCCCTTCTTGTATATTACCTCCTATTCTTAATTTATTTTTTGGAACATAAAATGGCTCTCTTTGTGTTACTACTAACAAATAACTTTCATTTGATACACAACAAACAGGAGATCCAACTAGTTTTGTTACCGAAACATTGATACCACTGTTTCTCCATATTCTCAAGTACCTCAATGATGTCATTACTGCTACAAAATCACGGCTACACGTCATACTTATCAAATCCTCGCCATTTAGTAAAGTTTTTGACCAACCTGATTTATCACTCCTTCCCCATGTTCTCCAAATATTGTAATCTATTATAGATGGAACAACTGTCCCATTTTCCAATACTTTAGACTTTCTTCCCAATAAATACCCATCCATACCTATACATGCCATATTATACCCTTTTGTATCATATACTCGTAATTTTTTTGGTCCATCCATTGAATTATAGCATTCCATATCTATTGAAGGCCTTCCTTCTTCATCTATAGAATAAGATATATATCCTGACTGGTTCCAACAATACAAAAACTCTCTATTTTCTTCATTTAGTGAATCCAGTATCTCGTTGTCACCAGTATATCCAGGATGTACTGGAGGTTGACTCTCATTACCATTATTTATCATTGATTTTAGTTTCTCGATTTTAACCTTCAAATGTTCAATATGTCTTCCAAATTCCCTCTTATCCCAACTCTCATACTCATATTCATCTTCTTCTTCTTCAAAGTCCAGATCTTCATCTTCTATTTGTCCATCAGAATTATCCATTTCCTTAATTCTTTGATCTCCATCTAGATCATTCATAGAGTGCTCAAATTCATCCAAATCTTCTTCAAATATATCCTCTTCAACCATCTCTTTCTCATTTCCAACTTTCCTAAGTCCAGATCTACGTTGTTTTTCTCTATTTTCTTTATAATTATCTTCCAAATTTCCGCTCTTAGTTTTTTTAACCTTAATTAAATCACTTTTTTCTTTTATATCTCCTTCATCAACTTCTACATCATCCCAAAGCAAATTTTCATCAAAACTCTTATCCAGATCTTTATCATCAAATCTTTTTGAATTACTTGATTCACTAAAAGTATATGTCTTTTCACCAATACTATCATAATTTTCAATACCAGTGTTTTTGTTCTCAATCACATTTATTATATTGTAAGTTTCAAAATCTAACTGAAACTTATTCAATATTAATTCTCCAGAATTCAGTACTGATGAAATATACAAAAAATCTTGCTTATTTTCTTGTTTCTTATCAAATTCCTCGTTATTAATTGAGTCTCCACTCCTCTTCAAAAATAAATCCAAAGATACTGGATATAATTCCTTCATACTCTTATTCTTCAACATAAATGTATTTACTTCCCTAATATCACTCATTCCCAATCCAAGTATATATACTCTTACTTCTCCTTCAATAGATAAAGATACTAATATTCTCTTATCTTGATTATATTCAATTTCCTTTATTATGCATATATCTAATCCATAATTCCTCATTCCAACCTCCGAAATAAAGTACTTGATTTCTTTTGGGTTTTCATTGATTGGTAATATCCTAACTTCAGCTTCTCCTGGTAAATATATATATTCACCACAACTACTCCATTCCAAAACTAAACAATTATATGGATTCCCTGACTTTTTACTTTTTTGAAACAAAGACTTTTTAAAAATTTGAGATTCAAATAACAATTTACAACTTCTTATACCATCATCATTCTTTTCATTTAACTCTTTAACTTCCAAACTTGATACTATTAATTTTCGATTAATTGTAGAAACTGCTATCTTATCTCCTTTTGGATTCAATGAAAAGTTGATGCCACCCTGAAAAGTTCCATCATATCTTATCACATTATATCCCATACTTGACTCAACTGTAGTGCTCATCAAGGCTCCATCATCATAAAGAACGAAAATTATTCCATTTCTTTCTTTAATGCATATTGGATATCCCATATGTTTCATTAACAATCTTGAAGGTAAGTTCTTTAATGATGGATCATCTAACCAGAATGTATTACTCTCTTTATCTTCTTCAATTTCTTGTGAATCACCAAACATTGTATTATAATAATGGTCATCAATTTGATCATTGCTATTTTCTTGTTTTAATTGATTACTTTCTAATAATTCAGTTTTTGGAAAGTTATATAACCTTACACTTCCATTTGAAAACCCTATGCATGCATAATCTTTTGAGTATAAACATGATGATATCTGCATAAAATCAAATTCTTCTCCTATTCTATTTTCTTGTGGACACCATGTTCTGCTATATAGTTTCTGATCAGAGAACTGTAATATCTCTATTGATGACGTTTCATTTGTCTGAATTACTATTCTTAATTGGTCATCCAAAATTTTATTGTAGGAAAAAAATACTTGTCTTATTGAATTTTCAGAATACTTGCTTTGGAATTCCCAAACTTCACCGGCCTCTTTTTTAGTCAAATTTTTAATTTTTTTCCCCATTTTTATTTATGTATATATCTGTAATATATATTACATAAATTCAACTATTCAAATTTAAATCTGTGGACTGTATTTTTACTTAATTATGTTTGCAATAATCCTTATTTTATTGTTATTACTTTAAGAATTTCATGAATTAAAATCTGAATACTTGAAACAAAGTATGTGTTTTTTTAATATACTATCTTAATTATTTGGTGGCAAATATAAACTTTATTTATTCGTATAAAAACTTAATGTAATTTTACTATTTTTTTTTTTTAATGAATTTTTAAATAGTTCCTCACACATGAAAAAATATTTGAATTTTTCCCCCCTATTATCTGCTCTTTATTGACTTGCAGGCATTACACGTAATTCTTATGATTGCATATACCGGTGTTTACTAACATAAAATTTTTGCACAAAAAAAAAATAATTGAAAAAAAAAATCTTATTTTTATTATTTAAAAAAAACTTAAATATAAAAAAATATGTAATAAATAGTAATCTAAACGGTTAGGTCCTGAATTTGCATTTCAGCAGAATGAGATTTATAAAAGGGCCCAACTTTAACATATTCTTCCAAAGATGAGCTGAAATTGGGGTCAGAAAGACTATTAATAGCACTTTGATCAAATTTCACCATTTGCTTAACAAGATCATACTTGATATACAAAATATCCTTATTTGAGTCGCTATTTGGATTCAAAAAAAGATGCCTAATTTTATGATTAGAAATTAAACTTGATGTTATATTTGGAAAATTTGGAATCATTAATGTTAAAATTCTATAAATTAGTGTCCTATTTTCTGGGAAGGGCTTTGAAATTAAATCAGAAATAATAGTGGGTAAAAGCTGAGTTTCAATAGCTTGTTTTAATCCAAAGCTTGTTTTAGTTTGGTTAAGTATTTCTTTTATATCCTTACTCTCAAAGAATGTTACCCAAGAATTCAAACTAGAAAGAGAAATCTCGGATTTTGAATTCGACACCAGTTTGAGCATTTGTTGAAAAGAACCTTCCCAAATGTCCATTAAATTTTGGAAACTTATTAAACTACAAGTAAAAAGTCCCCAACAGTTGATTGCACAGACAGATTTTAAATGATTCTCACTACAGGTTATACTATTATAAGACCCCATGAACTCTTTGAGAGTTTGAATAAATGAATTCCCTGACATTGTGAATATTTTTTTTGACATTTCAGGATTGTTATTTATCATTTTTGATAATAAATAAACTATAGATATTTTTATTTCATCATCAAACATTGGATTATTAAGATCATCAATTAATAATTCTGGGGTTGAATTGTTTATTATAAATTTTACTCCCCAACTGTATTCACCTAGATCTTCTAATAATTTCATTGATACCAACTTTAACAATATATCTTCTGTAAAATATTCCTTTAAAGCTAGTGAGTAGAATTCACCTTTTTCTTGACATTTGTTGAACAAATCCTCAGAAATTGAGCCTATTGATATATAAGTATCAATAATTCTCAATCTGGTTTCATCTTTCAGTAATTTAAAATTTTTAAGTAATTTATTGATCAATTCCTGGTCATAAACATATTCTGGATTAATTTTTGAAATAGACTTTAATGTCTTTGATGCTGACTCTCCTATCGATATATCTATATCTCTTAATAATAATCCCAGTATTGAATAAAATCCTTTTTCACAAGCCTTTTTGCATTTTAAATCATTCATAGAAAGCGAGTTTAAAATAAAAGCTACCAATAATCTAATGCATTCTACCTGAGATTTGGATCCCTTCTCCAGCATCTCTATAGCATTAGGCATATCAAAAATAACATCATCCAGAGCTCCTAATATGGTCAAACGCTTTAAAACCTCAGTTATTAGAGTAATATCATCAATATCATTTGAATTAAGTAATAACTCAAGTAAACCAACTACTGATATTACGCTAGAAAGTTCATCATAAGATTCTTTACAAAGGGGGGAAGCTAGGAAATCCTGTAGTTTTTTTTTTAATTGATTTTCCAAATGACTGCCCATTTTAGGAAGTAACCCCAAAATTTATATCAGTTTAAACTTTTTTATTTTCTTTTTTTCCTATTAATTGGAGTATTTATATTTTTTTTTCGAGACTGACATACTATTTTCGTGTGCGCCAGAATCATCTAAACGAATAAGAATAACAAATATAACCGAATAAGGCCACCTTAATACAATGTATATCCTGGGTGGTTAAACTTCCTCAATTTCGGCATCTTTATATGAACTAGAACATCCTATATTCTATTATTGTCTTATCTCTAAGATTAATGGAACTATAAGCTTACCCACATTTACTATATAACAATAGTATATATTTAAGGTGGGAAAAACTATTCACCTGTTTGAGTATTACTTAACTGATCAAAAATATAGAATCCTGACCAGTCATAATTTAAATTGATAATTTTCATATACTCAAACCATTATTGCCAGGGTGAATTAACGAACAAGTGGTAATTACAACATGTCGTCTTAGATACAGGCGTTCAAGTTCAAAATGAGGACTATCTAAAAAAGGAGGCGTTTATTATTGAATTTTATTCCATATTTAATCAGAGATATTTTCAATATCTACTGCCTCAATATTTACATTTATATCGGGAAGTAAGGTCAATAAACAATATATCAAAATCAATATATATATATTTTTTTTTCTAAAAATATGATTTTTGCCTTTATATGTTTTCCCTCTTTTTTAACTTATTACTTGTATAAAATATTACCAATAAAGTAAATATAACAGTAAAAATAAATATTAAATCACAGATACCGCCAAAACTTATTTTTCTTTTATTATTATTGAATTTGAAAATATTCCGAATCGCCGCCAAACAGAATAATAAATAAATTCTTAAATAAAATTGAAAATAATGAAAAATTAAAGCAATGCTTTCAGTAGGAATGAACACTATTTGTTGCGTTCATTTCCGTTTTTAGAATTTAGGGAGTTTTGTAGGGCTAAGAAGCCAATACAAATATATAGATATTTACCCTTTTTTAAAAAATCCTCACACCATGATGTGAAAAATGCATTACTTGATTTTTTCATTATTTAGCTGATAAGCAATTCAGAATAATTATTTTAAATCGTCCAAAAGTATATAAAAAATGATTATATGACTATTTTTCTTTGAAGTTTTTATTTATTTAATTGTAACTAAACAAATACACACAAAAATTATATTTACCTTCTTTATATTATTTTTTTCCTCTCTTTTTTGAAAGAAAGAAAAATGTTTCAACCTCTAAAAACAATCACAAATTGAATAAAAATGATTATTTGATTTATTCTATTTATTGTCAATAATTGTTCTATATTATTTTCATATTGTTTAAAAAAAATTACTGCTGGAAATACTTATATTCGTACTAATTATTATTAAAAAAACTTCAATTTTAAATACTCCTCCCTCGTATTATAGTCAAATACTCTCAGCATTTTCAATATAATTCATATTAAATAATTCTTCAAATGGCGCCAAAAATTTGTCATTTTTTAAATAAATTGCATGCATGCATGTTTGCAATGGAAGCATGTACCGACATGAGTTTGGAGTTAAGTTGCATCAAATAAATGGTAAAATAAAATTGCATTTAAAAAGTTGGAAATAATGGGGAGAAAAGATAACATGTTGAAGTTATAATTTTTTTAAATTATTATTGAAAAGGTCCATTGCTTATATGTAAAATATATATATACATACATATATATAAATATATATAATTACTAATTAAGTATCATTTTCTAAACATTTTTGAAAAGAAAATTTGAGGTAATGAGGTTTTTGGATGCTGTATTCAACCAATTTTTTAAAAGAATATTATTTGAAAAATCTAATTGGAAAATTAAAATTGTTTTAATTTTAATGTTTTTAAAATCAATAGATAGTAACTCAAATGGAGAGTTAATTTTTAAAAATATTATAAACAATGAGACTAATTTAAGAATGGAAGATTTGCAAAAAGAGCAAGGTGACAGGAATTTTAATCATTGTAATTTAACAATGTTAATTAAACAAGGAGAAAAAAGTGATTTAAATGAGTACAAAAACTGCAGTCAAAAATCGGATACAGCTTTTGAAACTAAAAATATATTAGGACTTGGACATCAAAATTTAAATTATACATCTCCGGTAGAAAATCTACTCATTCAAAATCCAAAAGCTGTTTTTAATGAAAGTAACATCTTAAACATTACTGAAAATGGAAATAATACAATATATAAGCCTTTAGTTGGTAGGAAAATGGCTGATTACGAGCTAATTCATAGAGACCAATTAGTTTTCAGGCCTGTTGGTTATCATCAATTTGATGTAATACCACAAGTTATACATCAAATACCTCAAAACCAGTACCCGATGTTTAGAAGTGGATATTTGGGTTATCCATACAATCCAATTAATTACTATCGTTCTCCATATATAACTACGCTTAAGAGGAATAGAACAAGAAGGTTTTTAACTGAAGATTTAGATACTAATGCGAAAAATGAATACAAGGTTGAGTACGAAATAATGGAGTTTTTAAGTGGAAATAACTCAATATTTAATCAATAATGGGTTTTCATCCAAGTTGACAAATCCTAGCCAAATTTCAGGTTCAATAAAAATAAGAGAAGATGACAAATAACAAGATTAGATTATTTTAATAGTTAAGAAGGAAAGAAAAGATACAACAGCCTTTTTCTCAAAAAGGCTTTTTTTTTCTAGAATTATTTAAGAAAGGAAAAAAACTAATTCACTGTAATAAATGCCAAAGTTTTCAATTCAATTCAAAAAAAAAGTTTTTTAGCAATCTGAAATATTTTAAGAAATAATCAAAAACAGGTATATTGCCGGCAAACATGAAAGTGGGGTACTAGTGTGATTGAAAAATAAGATTTAAAAGAAGGCAGCTAAAAATAAATAAAGTTTTGCTTTTAAATTTAGCTGGAGAGATAATAGAAATGGAACTAACGCTGGATGATTATTTTTCAAGCTGTAAGGAGAAGAGGTTAAAAGATAATAAAGGTGGTTCAAATATTAAAATAAGTAAAGAGGAAAATAATAAAGTAAAAATTAATGATGATACTGAAAGCTATGAAATTAAAGTTAAACAAACTTCAAAGAGATCCAGACTACATAAAGTATTGAGCAGTGATGAAGAGGAATATGAAGATGAAATTGAAACTTTGAAAAGCACTACGAACAGAAAGAAAAAAAATCTTTCTCCTAAGGCTGAAAAGCAAAATTCTCCTAAAAAAACTAAATCATCGTCCAAATCAAACTTAAATGCAGAAAAAGATAAAATTAACTCCGATTCTCAAAATGAGGAAGAATTAATAGGCCCTTTTAATGGAATGAGTATCGTTGTTACTGGTACTTTTACTAATAATTCCAGACAAGAAATTGAAGATTTTATAAAAGTTTTGGGAGGAAAATTAACCTCAGCTGTAAGTGGAAAAACTTCATATTTAGTAGCAGGAAGTTCTTTGGAAGACGGAAGACCAACTGAAGAAGGTAGTAAATACCGTAATGCCAAATCAAAAGGGGTAAAAATTTTAAATGAAGATGAGTTTATTGAAATCTACACAAGTTACAAGCAAAAAGAAGCCAAACATGACAGTAAATCCCCTAATAGGAAAACTCTGGGAGTGTTTGGAGCAGGAACACAAAAAAATGAGTATAATAATAGTAATGATAACTTTTATAGTAATCATTCTTTATGGACTGACAGACATAAACCAGAATCACTAGACCAAGTATTGGGTAACGGCGAAGTAATTAAAAAACTACAAACATGGCTTTCTGATTGGAAATCTGTAATAATAGAAAACAAGAAAAAAGTTCCTCCGAAAGCTTCGTTTTCTCCAGGTAGCAGATTTCCCCAAGTTGAAAATATTAATGCTAGAGCAGCTTTAATAAGTGGTCCTCCAGGAATAGGAAAATCCACAGTAGCTTCTTTAATTGCAAAAAAATGTGGATACATCCCGATAGAGATGAATGCAAGTGACGATAGAACAAAAGAAGTCATTGAAAACCTTTCTGAAAGTGCAGTTGGTGGATTTTCACTCTCAACTTTTGCTAGAAAATCTTCATCTAGTAACTACTTTGTGGAAGAAGGCGGACTAAATACTAATATGTTACTAATTATGGACGAGATGGATGGTTTGGGAGGAAGCGATAGAGGGGGAGCAGCAGCTCTTGGGAGGCTGATTCAGAAGACTAGATGGCCAATTATATGTATATGTAATGACAGAATGAATGAGAAAGTACGAAATTTAGCTCCAAAATGCTACGACTTAAAATTTACCCGTCCATCTAAAGTTCAGATTATCAAAAGAATGCAGGAGATCGCAAATAAAGAAGGAATGAAGGTTGAACCAAATGCAATTGAGCTACTTTGTGAGTCGGTTGGGAATGATTTAAGGCAGATACTTAATGAGTTACAGCTTTTATCTTTGTCAAATATAAATGTTCGCTTTTCCGATATTAAAAAAGAAATTTCAGGTCATTTAAAAGATGTTCAAGTTACTTTGGATGTTTTCTCTGCAACGAAAAAGCTTTTAACTACTAGTGAATCATCCCATCTTTCAATCAATGAAAAGCTGGAGATATTTTTTATTGATTTTGATTTAATGCCTCTTCTACTTGAGGAAAACTATATCTCAGCATTATCCATAAAAACTGGAAGTGGATTTGGATCTTCAAACCAGCAAATGGCTGTATCTCCTCAGGTGATTGAAAGTATCCTAGAATCTGCAAACTTGTTTGTTGAAGCTGATATATTTAATTCTAAGATCAGATCTGATAATGAATGGAGCTTACTTTCTGAAATTGCAATGAATTGTGCAGTTGCTCCAGGACTCTGTTCATCAAATTCCTTCTTACCTAGGCCTGAATTTCCAAAATGGCTCGGAAAGAATTCAACAGCTAATAAAAATAAAAGACTTTTAAGTGAACTTATGGCTATTATTACTGTCGGAAGAAAAGGAAACTGCCCAACATCAAAAGGACTAAGACTTTCTGGATATCTTGATTTGATCTACTACAAAGCCACAGCTCCTTTACTTGATAGTAAAATCGACACAAAAGATGCTATTCAAATGAGCATTTCATTCATGGACGAATATTGTCTCAATAGAAATCATCTAATCGAACATATGCCATCTTTAATGCTTAAAAACCAAATCAGAACTTATGAAAAAGTTGACAGCAAGACTAAATCCGCCATGACCAGAATAATTAACTCAACTACTCATGCAGTCAAATTTTCTATACAATCTAACAAAAGCAACAAGTCAGACGATTCAGAATTCTCAAGAAGAGGAAGAGAGGAAGGCCAGGATTTAGATGGGCAAGAAGTTGATTTTGACCAAAGTGATGACAACAAGGATGAAAAAGATGAAGAATATTCTAAATTTTCAAATGGTAAATCTAAAACATCAAATGAACTTGGCTCACTAATTAAAGTCAAGAAAAGCAAAACTACTGGTAAACAAACTAAAGAAGTCAAGAAGAAAACTAAATAGTAGCGCCAACTTATATGAAAAATTCAAATATTCGGTTAAAAATATTTTTTAAATATTCATATACCGTAATAACTACTTAATATGAGGGGCGGTTCAGAAACAAACAAAATTGCATGCATGCATGTAAAAAAAAAAACATGTAGTGAAGGTTTTCGTAAAAATAATTAATAGAAATAAACTAATCACAACGGTTTTACAAAGACAAATAGTGAAATAACGTTTCGTTAATTTATCTAGTTTTTATTAATCAATTCTTAGAATACACATAAAAATGAATTAGAAAATACTTCCATTCTAGTGATACTTAGTTTAATATAAAAATTGGAAGAATTGAGGTTATTCCTAGCCACTAAAAATATGGGAAATTCGGATTTTTGGCCATTTTAATTGGATTCCCTTTTATGGATAATTCTAGTGGATATTCAAATATTATAGTAAATTGAACACTGGTATTGAAAAAAAAAATAAGTTGGATTAATACGAAAAATATCCGAAAACATTCAATTCTTTCTTATTCTATATTATAAAAATAAAATACATTATCATTATTAGTGTTTTTTTTTTACTTAATGGTGATAAAATTAGAGAATTTAATTTGCAATCATTAATCATTATTTACTTATTTCCATTTTCGCAGATTTCATTGTTAAATTGATCATAATCATTCTTAGACCCTTCAGCATCAGTATCTTCATCAGTAGTTGAAGATGCCAACTGAATTGCGATTTCTTGACTACCTGATGAGCCTTTTAAACATGTATCTTCGGTTTTAAAAGTAGGTTCTAATGAAGAACTTAAAGTAGTACCTCTAATTGATGGAATTAGTCTTTTATCTGTATAATTGATTATATCAGATACTGAATTATAGTATTGGGATACTGATACGAGCTCTTGACTAATTTCATCATTAAAGTATCTGATAGTATCTTTAACAAATTGTTCTTTGCAATATTTAGAGCATCTGTGTTTACAGTTTTCATAGACAATAATCTTTGAGTTTGGTACATATTCATTTAAGACAGTTACAGCGGAGGAAAGAGGACATAATCTGTCTTCAGCTCCCCAGAAGAAAAGAGTTGGAACGTCAACTTTGCTGAATTCATGATAAATTTCTAGATTATTCCATAAATTAATTCCCAAGAATAGTTGTAAAGATGTTAAAAGTATTTGTTTACAATAATGCTTTGCTCTGAAATCAAGTTTTGGTGAAGAAAGATTCTCAGTTGGTGGGTCAAGAAATTGATAACATCCCCAAACAGGTGAGTATATATTTGCAATGAGCTGAAGTGGATAATTAACAATAGAATACTGCAAATAAGGTGCCACCTTCTTTTTTAACAAACCTGGAGGAGCATCCAGAACTAACTTGCTAATATGTTTTGAATATCTTTGAGCAATTCTCATTGCCACAAATCCACCTAAAGAGGTACCTACTACATGTAACTTTGGTACAAAGGTATTAGAGTTTAATTCTTCCTCAGAAATGGAAGTTACATTGTAAAGACCCAATTTCTCAAGTATTTCCATTGTTTGATCAACATAATCGTCCACAGTATAATATCCAAAATTTTTATATTGAGATAAGCCATGTCCATAAAAATCAAATCTTAAAGCTCTATAACCATTTTTTGCAAGATTCTTGGAAATACTTGAGCAGTCTGAAATTGTCCCCATAAAACAATGAAGACAAACAGAGACGGGTCCATTCTCATTTTCCTGATGTAATTGGTAGTTAACAGTACCATGGGATAATTTGATTCTAGAACCTTCTTCATAGTAAAAGTGGTCAGGAATGACCATTTGTTCTTCTCCCAATACTTTAAAGACACCTACATAAGCAAAACTTAAAGCTGCAAATATATAAGTCAGTAACCTCATATCTTCTACTATACTCTCTCTATATCTTATTTTTCTTTGTTATTTCAATTAATTTAACTTTTATTAATTTATTAATTTTTTTGGTATATTCAATTTGCCCCTTTTACATTTACCTGTCCTCTAAAATTCGATCCAGCGCCAATATTTTGGCGCCTCCACTATTTTTCGATTTTCATAGGTAAGTTGTAATTTATTATAATTATAGAGATAAGAAAAAATAGGAAAAAAAAGTTAGAAAAAATGGAGGAGCTGAATTATATTTTTCAAAATTGTTAATTTTTTTTGGAGGGAAGGGGTGACATATTGTCTTAGATTGAACCCTTAATATGAGGATTGCATAATTTCTAATAACATTGAATAAATAGTCAGACTCTGTTAAGAGAGGTGGGGTAGTGGAGAGGGAAAACAAGTAGTATAGTTTTGACGTATTTTTTTTGATAATCTTTCTCTATCATATAGTTGCTTATACATTATTGTTTTAGAAAAACACGATATTAAAGCTATAACAGATTCTAGAAGATTCTTACATATCCTTTAACTTTTTTGTTAATCTTGTAAAGGAACCGGAAATTTTTGCTTTGTAATATTGTTCATGTAAGTAATTAATACAATATAGATAAAATTGGCGGGAGTGTGTGAAATTCTATTTTAACAGGATTAATATAGTAAATTAAGTAGGTCAATTAAATAAACTATTAGTGGATTACGAAACAAAAAAAGTTAAATATATATATATATATATATATATATATATATATATAGTGACAATTTTTTGATTAATTTGGTCTCATAAGGGTATTTAACACAAGATTCAAAACAATAGAGGACTGATAGTTAGAACAAGCATTACAATTAGGGATTTTTAAGGAGAAAGAAATGGAACTTAAGTACAAATTTGAAGAAGGAAAATTTACAGAAGGTCCAAATGGAAGAATAAATTACTCATTATCATTCCCAAACGTTGAAAAAACAGCATATAATGGCCCTTTGGTAATTTGTTTTCATGGATTACTTAGCTCAATTTCATCTTTCAAGAAGTTGGAAACTGAGTGCTTAAAGACAGGGTTAGCAGTATTGAGAATAGATATGCCTGGCCACGGGCTATCTTCTTGGAGCTACTTTGGAAGTTTGACTAGCGATGATTTTATTAATCAAGTGGATACGGTCCTGATAAATTTGGGTTTGGAGAAGTTATTTTTATATTTAGTTGGAATTTCTATGGGGGGTTTAATGACCTTATACTATGCAGGGGCTCATCCTGAGAAAGTACTTAAGGTAGCTTCTCTGTGCCCAGCTTGTTTTTGTAGACCACTTTCAACATTGCAAAAAATGGTTGTAAAGAATATTCCAGGAGTTTTCAGATTCTTTGAGAACTCACTTCCATTGTACTTGTTCGTTACTAGAGATGGCATATTAGATGATTACTATGATCCTGAAAAGATCAATCCAGAAGCTATTGATTTAAGATATTTTAGGCACAGATATTATGGAAGACAACTAAGATCAACTTTTGGCAGAGTAGTAACAGGCTTTGATTTCTGGGAAAATGACCAAGCTCTTAAGGTATTTATGGATAAATACATTTCAATAAGGGGAGTTACCGGTGTATGCTTTTTTCTAGGTTTGCATGATGAGATGGTTCCTACTGACATTATAATTCCAAAACTCAAAAACACAATACCAAAAGCAAGAGCGATAATTTATCAAAATTGTAAACATCAGCTCTTAGAAGAGGGTAATAACATTATTAATGATATAGTTAATTATTTTTATTCTAATTCAGAGTCTGAATACTGCAAGATCGGTTTAGCAATAGATTCTATTAGAATTCAAGATAACGTTCAAAAATAAAAAAGCAGGTTCTGAATAGGAAAAAATATGTAAGAATAATAGATAATAAGATTCATTATCTCAATACTTTTTTCTATAGCCTATAGTATCACAAGGAACGCCATTAAAAATTTCTTGTACATTGTATATTTACATTAGTCTTCATTGTTATTCTTCCAAATAGCCGAGTCTATGAGCCTAATCATCATAAAAAGCACCTTCTGGTGGTTGAACTAATCTTCTATTAAAATTGGAAGCCATTTCATGCCTTAATGCTATTAGCACATTTTCAATATAAAAATTCCTCTGCCATTGCTTCAGTACAGCAAAATTTGGACTTACAAATCCATGTCCATCCACACACCCCAGAGAAATCTTTGTATTGAATTTGACAATAGGAGCTTCATCTGGATAATTTGGACCACATGATACTGTTAGTGAATATATTCTATTTTCAAAAGTAGTCTAAAATAATTCAAAGTTAGAAATCGAGCAAAATATAACAATTGTCTTTGCAAACTTACATTTGGAGGGCCAAAAATAGTGCATGCCCACGTACTTAAGGTGATATCATCATGTTGGTCCAGACCCCATGATACTCCGTCTGTAGCCTGTCCTTTCTGACCTCTCTCTAATTCATCCAGTAGTCTAAAACTTCTTGGAACTTTGACTTCATCCATTATAAAATAATTAAAATAAAACGAATTATCTTATTTGTAAACGAGAATAAAATTTCAATAATTTTCCCCAATAAGCTATTTTCAAAGAAGTCTCTGCTTTTATTGAAAGATAACTAGAAGAAAAAGATATTCTTAATTATACAAGTATGCACACAAAAACCGACTTATAAATTTTCGGTATATTATCCTAATTCGTTTGACTTTTCAATTATAACTATCCCCTACTTCAATTCTCTTAACTGCAAGAATTTTCCTTTTACCAATCTTTTCGTCCTCAATTATTAATTTTTAAACATTCTGGAGCCCGCCCAAACTATGGCGGCAAATATGGCGCCAACTGTTTTTTGTAAGGGTTTTAGGCAGAAATAATACGAGTAGGGAGAGAAAAATGTTGACAGATATTAATGAATAAGTAGAAATACCATCGAGGAAGTATCTATTTAGATGAGATAATATTTAAATTTAGAAGTAGTGCGCACACACACTCAAATATTTAATAATAAATATATTATTGAGTAAGCAAGTGCAGGGTAAATATAGGAAAATAAGCAAAAAAAACTGTGGGGCGGGTGAATAGCTTGGCTTAAGCTTAAAGAGGCAAAGCGTTTTTTTCATAAACAAAATAATAAAAAAAAACAAAGTAAAAAGGAAATGGTTTGAGAGAGGGAATCAGAATATAAGATAATTAGAAGAGTTAGGAAGAGAGAATATAAAGTAACATGACGTCAGACAAAGAAAATTTCTCCAAGAATGAGGAATCTGGTAAGAAGGAGGGATTAAAAGAGGGGGAGTCAATTCCAAATGTAGATATGATGGATTTGACAGAGGAGGATAAGATTTTGAAGGAGGAAATAGATGGTTTGGTGGAGAAGGTAATATCAGAGGAGTCTGGGTTTGAGGTTTCCAAGTCCAGTTTGGAATCTCTTTCGAGCTTAATAAAGACATCTACAAGCGGAATGACATCGGTTCCTAAGGCATTAAAGTTTTTGGGAATACATTACCAGAGACTAAAAGAGTTTTGTGATTCCCAAATTTCCAAGAAAAGCCAACTATCCGAGCTTTCTTGCGAAATTATTTCGGTTTTATCAACCACTTTAGGGGATATGAAAGAGAGAAAAGCCTTAAGTTATAGACTACTTTCTGGAAACAAGAAAGGAATCTTGGATTGGGGTCAGGAATATGTCAGAAATATAGTAGGCGAAATTACTTTAGAGTATTCTGAGATACAAGCCAACCAAGATTTACCTGGTGCTTCAGACCAAGATGTAAATGTTTCAGATCTTCTTGAGTTAGTTAAGATTATGGTTCCTTATCAAATTGAGAAGCACTGTGAGTTGGAAGCCATTGATTTACTATGTGAAGTTGAGCAAATGGAGACATTGTTGGAATATTTGACTAAAATTGATGTTGAACAGATGGAAAGAATCGTATTGTACTTGCAACAACTCTCCCAGTATGCCATATCAGCAGAAGAACATGATTTGTATCTAAAGCTTTGCTTTGAGCTACTTTTAAGCTTTGAAAAGCACTCATGGGCAGTTTCTGTGGCTCTTAAATTGGATGGCCAAAATTGTAAAGAGAAGATATTTTCTGTAATAGATGATATTATTTCCTATGACTCAAAGAGGAGTAAAATAAAGAATCATGAAGCCAAAGATTCCAACAGTTTAAACTTATCAGGCAATTTTAAAGTCTCAGGATTGAGCATTCTGAAGCAAATCTTTTTCCAGCTTGCTAAATTCTCAAGCAACATAAACTTGGAGGAACTTAAGAGTCATTTAATCAGCAGAGATTTTTGTAAGATCTATGGCGAATCTGAGCTATCCATAATTGAAGAAATATTTTCTAATGAATACCTCAGTAAATTCTATTTGTTCTTAGCAAAAGAATTAGAGGTTCTTGAGCCAAAAACTCCAGAAGAAATTTACAAAACTCATCTAGAAGAGAATAGTAGATATTCTAGTAGATCAATGATGGTTTTGGATACTGCTAAACAGAATTTAGCATCTACTTATGTGAATGCATTGGTAAATGTTGGGTTTTGCAAAGATAAGTTAATTGGAGAGGACGATTCATCTTGGCTTTATAAGAATAAGGATTCTGGTAAGATGGCGGTGAGTGCATCATTAGGGGTCATTAATCTTTGGAATATCGATGAAGGTTTGGCTAATATTGATAAGTTTCAGTGGAGTGATGATCCATTCATTAAAGCTGGAGCTCTGATAGCTTTTGGATTGATTTCCATTAGAATCAAGAATGATTGTGACCCTTCTTTTGCTCTTTTATCTGAATATATAAATTCTGGAGACGAACCAATCCAAGAGGTGTCTACTAGTGATGTTAAAGATGAAGGGGATGATGTAAAGATGGAAGTGGGAAACAAAACAACAGATAAATCGAATGACAATAAGATCTCGATAATCAAGACAGTAGTTCCAAATTATACTATTAGAATGGGTGCTATTTTAGGTCTTGGATATTCATATATTGGTACCTGCCGAGATGATATCTTAGAGTTACTGATTCCAGTCCTAATGGATCCTTTTTCAAGCTTAGAATGCTCTGCTATTTCTGCTTTATCTTTGGGTTTAATATTCTCAGGATCAGGAAATCAGAGCATTATCGAGGCTGTTTTGGACCTACTTTTGACAATTGGATTCACCAGTGGGGGTATGGATGATGGGGAATCTAATAGTGAAAGTAAGAAGAAATCTTCGGGAGACTCACAATTAGAGAGTAATTCTTTCCTAGATGACCCTCTAAGTATTCTTTATGGATTATGCTTGGGGTTACTCTTTTTAGGAAAGCGGGAGGCTTGTGAAACTACTTTAGAAGCTCTTTCGGTCATAACTCATCCAATAGGAGCTCACTGCAGACAAACTGTGGTTGGCTGTGCCTACGCAGGATCGGGCGATGTACTTAAGATCCAAGAGATGCAAAGAGTTCTTGTGGAGGAGACCCTCGCAAAGGGAGGGAAGAAACGAGCAGAAGAAGAGGACCAAATAGATGATGAAGAATCAGATATCTCAGTATTGGTTTGCGTGTTAAATATGGCACTAATCAGCCTTGGAGAGGAGATTGGCTCTGAAATGTCTCTTAGAGCACTTGACAATGTCCTTCAGTACTCCTCAGTCTTTATTAGGAGAGCTGTTCCAATTAGTTTAGCTGCTCTTTCAATTGGAAACCCCAAGCCAGTATTAATAGATACAATTTCCAAACTAACTCATGATTCTGACCCGGATGTGGCTTTAAATGCAATTTTTGCTCTTGGATTAATTTCTGCAGGGACAAACAATGCCAGAACTGCAAACTTGCTGAGACAGTTAGCCTCTTATTATGGAAAAGATAAACACGCTCTATATGCAGTAAGAATTGCTCAAGGTTTTCTATACATGGGTAAAGGTCTCGTAACAGTGAATCCTTGCCACACAAACAAGCTTCTTTTAAATCCAATAAGCCTGGTTTCCATCATCACAACCCTTCACCTTGCTCTTAGATCTAGAACCATTCTTTTTGGAAATTATCATTATCTCTTGCTTTCAATTGTTCCTGCAATTACCCCCAGACATGTGATCACTGTTGACACGTCATTGGCGCCAGTCCAGACCCTGGTACGTGTGGGGCAGATGGTAGACACTGTAGGACAAGCAGGAAATCCAAGAAAAATCACAGGGTTCCAAACACACAACACTCCAGTTCTTCTCGGGTTTAATGAGAGAGCTGAACTAGCAACTGATGAATTCGTTCCGGCTTGTAGCTCTATTGAGGATATTGTAATCCTAGAACGAAATCCAGAGGCTGAGAATAGTGGGATTAATGGAAGTGATAAATAACAGTAGGTAAATACGTGTTTTGTACTTTTATTAAATATAGAAAAAATGGGAGAAAATCTAGGGTAAAGATAAACCTTTTAATATGAGTAACAAAATAATATTAACGATAATAGGGAATCTAAAAATAAGATAAGTACTTCAGCTTTTTCAAGTCCCCGCCTTTTGTGTGCATTAATTTTTTGTATTTTCACTGTCAATATCTAAAAAAATGTTACATCCATAGAACAAATGTACAAAATTTATTATATTTTTGATGAGAGCAAATGGTAGGACTGCGTAAAGAATATATGGAATTATTGATAGGAATTTTTGATCAATTTGATTTAATTGTTTGAGATTTGTTCCTTTATTATGAATAGAACCTTGTGCATATAAAGTAAGCCATAAAATTTCATTACATGCATGTAAGGTAAATAATAGTGGCTTGCTTGAGTAGTATAGCTTTAGAATGGGCCACATATTTTTTTCAACGTTTTTATGTGAGTTTTTTCCAGTTAAAATACTTGAAGCCATGTAAAGCCAATGCCCAGAAATGTCTCCAATTAAAAACAATATCATTAATGATGTGTAGCTCCTATTTAATGTGATTGCTAGTATTATTATAATAACTGTACTACACCTATCAGTAATCATGTCTAACATGGCTCCAAATTTTGTTTCCTGTAATAATAATCTCGCAAAATATCCATCAAATGCATCTAGGATCTGGCTTATTCCATATAAAATTATTGATATATAGTAATACTCGATGCTAATAATAAGTGGTGCCAATCCCAATAATATTCTTAAGTAACCTTAATTTGCAATGTAGAGATTCGAATTAATAAATATTATTTCGCAATAATCAATAATATGAGAAAACTCACCTATCAGATTAGGAACATAAAACAATATTCTTCTCTTTATCTTCATTTTTATTATTAATAAATACAATTATATTCTTTTTTAAAAAATATTATTTGGCGCCAATAATATTACATATCTTTACATGCCAATATATTTCTATTAAGAATCAATTCAAATAATAAAATAAAGAAAAGAGTTGAATTATACACACATTTCACTAGTTTATTAATACTGGAAAATTGATTTATCTTTAAATTATCTACCAGAATCTTAATTTAAATTCTTTCTATTCGAACTCAAATTAATTATTTCTAATTAATAATTAAGAAAAACAATAAATTACTACCCAATACTACTTCTTATTGAGTACTTTAACAAACAAATTTTGATATATATTAATAAGTGCTCATAGTTACCACTTCTTAAGCTTAACTTTTCTTATATTCTCTCTTTCCTCTCCAAATATATCATTTCCATTCCCATTCACATTCCATGCATAAAATCCTCTACCCTCTAGTCAACTTCGTATTACCGCTCCTTCAATTCCACCAAAAAAATGTTAGATTAAACTTTTTGAACATTAACATATTGTATAAACAAATATTTACTGTTATCTTTATACATAAATACGTGCAAAAACGAAACTAAAAAAAATCATTGAATATTGTAAATGCTAAAGATCAAAAAACTAATGTCCTAATGCAAAGTCAGATTAAAATACACAACAATATATGACTTTTTTTAGACAAATTTAAATACTAAACAAGCTAAAAAATAAATATTGAATTTAGTGATCAGTAACTCACCTTGCTTCGATTGTCAAGCCCATTTTTCTACACAAACGAGTTTTAGTTCTTACTTTTGTGGAAAATTAGCTTATACATTATTGTATCATCTAAAAAAAAAGTCCCCAAAATCCCCTAAAAACCCCAAAAATAATATTTAAAATTTATCTTTCTTAAATATCCTAATTACCCATAATCCAACAAAATATTAACATTCTTGGACCAATTAAACCCTTTAAGTCACAACGAAGTTCTGGAAGCATTATGAGCACCAGAGTTGCCGCCTTGTTTTTTGTATTTGTGTAAAGGCCAGACCTTAGTTAATAATGGAATGAAAATAATAAAGAAAACAAAATCTTTATTTCTTTGAATTTTTTTTTAACTCCATTCTCTTCTTTAAAATATTAGTATTCATAAATCCAATTTTTTCAAAAACACTATTAATAATAATTATCCAAAATTCTAGCCCATAAGTCAATTCTTTCCTCAAAGTAATTAATGACACATATGGCAGCTTATAGACGCTACTTCTCCATTATTCACATTCAATATTATTTTTTACATTAAAAATTGTTCACAACCCCTTTATAACACCTTTTTTTTTAAGTATTCCAAATATTTAAAGATATTACAAAAGAAAACACTATTCATTCAAAAAGAACTTATTGCTCCAAAGATCAAAACAGAAAAGAAAGTTTTTAAAAAGCATGCATGTTTCTGTGTATGCAAACATTATGTGCTATGTATATAATATTACATATATATAAATTTTTTACCCATTTATTTATACATAACATTATACAATAAATACAAGCCCATATTGCTCTACATTCACATTTATTCATCCATTCTCTTGCATACTGATTTTACACAAAACTCCTTCAAAATCTGTCTGAACTTTGTCTTATTCGTTTGGGAAACTGAAACGTTCACAATCTGTTGAATAAAATCTTTAATTACATCTGAAGTTGATGAGGATTTTAATATATATGGAAGTGATTGATGAAAATTCCCGCGAAATAACATATCCTCGTGCATGCGAACAAATTCCTCACCATTCCCAAAATGTTTAACAAAACTCCCACCACTAAAGTCAAAAATACCGCCTCCACTATTATGAGGAAAATTCAAATCCATCATATTTGAATTTAAAAAGAAATTCTCCTCTAGTAATCTATAGACAAATTGTCTAACTGTGCAAGCAATCAAAGAACTCTTTGATTTCTGATGATAATTATTACCATGATTTCTCATTAAATTCTTCTCAAAATCCCTCCTCAATAAATAATCATTCATTTTGGCGCCATTTGTTAGTGGAAAATACAATGCAGGGTACTGTGCCGAAATATTTACCGATTGAATTAACATCCTTATCGGTAATCTGCAAAATGATGCCTCTAAGAGACTTCTAAAACGCTTCTTGTCCAGTAATTGTCTAATTAAAATTAAAATATCAGAAAGTATTGAAAAAGACTCAGAATCACAATATGACTCCAAAATTGCCAGTAAAATGGTAACTGTTAACTCCACTCCCCATACTGAGTTTGTAAATAATCTCTCAATATGTAGTTTGTTAATTTTATTTGTGAATTCTGTTCCAAGCAAATATTTTATAGTAATTACAACCCAACGTTGATTTGAAAGAAGCTTTTGAGGTATGAAACGCTCATTCTCATTTTTTAATTCGTCCTTAGCTTGTTCTGGTTCAGCATCATTACTGCAATTATTATCCACTGAAAAAAGCATGTTATTGTCATCCCCACACAATCCACCAGCACAACCTCCTCCCAAACATGCTCTTATTCCATCTACCCCTTCCACTACCCCATCAACCCCAACACCTTGTGTAGTACCCGGCACTGTCATAGGAATCACCATTCCTCTATCTATTATTGATCCTCCTTGTCCACTAATCCTTCTGTTATTATTTTCACTACTATTACTATTATGATTATTATTGATATGATGATTATTAATATTATTATTATTATTATTATTATTATTATTATTATTATTATTATTATTACTATTGTTATTATTATTAATATTAATATTAATATTATTATTATTATTATTGTTAATATTATTATTATTATTATTATTATTATTCATTTTATTGTTATTACTACTATTATCATTGTTATAGTAATTCATAATCCTTTCCTTATCTATCCTCCTCTTTGTATTAAAGTTTTGAGCTCCAATACAAATTAACAAAGTTACTATACATCTTGTAACAACATACTCTATAAATACTTCCAAATTCGCTCGTATAGGAGTACCAACGATCTTAATGAAACTCGGATTTGTAGCATAAGCTCCATTACATCCGTTACCTACCCCTACCCCAATTCCTTGAGCAGGATAATAACTCTCAGAAGTTAATGATAAATTTGTCAAATTCTGCAATAATAATAATAGAGCTAAACAAACAGCATCATGGTATTCCAAGCATGAACAATGATCATCAATTTTGCTACTATTTACTCGGAGATTCCCGTCCATATTACTCATCTGATTCACATATATACAAAAAGTGTTTAGTTTATTAACGTCTTGTAAGCCTGAATCTTTTTTGAAGTATCTGAAATAACTGCTAGAATCTTGTAATTTATAATCGTCTCTACTTATACTTGTCAGAGTTGAAACACTAAAAGAATAGTAACTCAAAAACTGGATTATTGGATGCACATTAAATGTTTTAAAAGAATGTATAAATGACAATATCGGATCCAGAAATCTTTGTTTTCTTTTCAATGTAAAATATGGGATCCTTAACATCATTACTGATAATGGAAGAAAAACATTTGGAACATAACTGCAAATACACACTTTTGAAAAAGCATTATTATTATTCTGATTGTCGCCATCATTACAATTGACCCCATCATCCCTATAAGACACCAAATCACCCCTTAGCATATTAAAAATTTCCTTAAAACCTCTCTGGTTGTTTTCATTAGTACTAGCAAAACCCAAGGTTGACCAACACCCGCTAACTTTATTCACAGTTCCTCTATTACCACCAGCACTAAAACCTCCCATTCCCCGATAATTTGATTGAAGTAGCTTAGTAATAGAATTTATCTCCACATTTAAACCCCTATTAAATAATAACAATTTGTAAATTAAAGTTATTATAGGATGTAAGCCTTTCTTTATTATCCCACCTGACCCAAATCCCTCGTTTTCACCATACAAACAATTGCATTTATTTCCCAAATCTCCATTTCCTTGTATATTTGGAACCATACCGCCATTAGTACTAGTAGTATTCATAACTCCTGATATTCCTCCCATCCCAATTCCACTACTATTATTCATGCTATGATTATTGTTGTTGTTATTACTACTAGTACTACCACCAATACCACTATTATTAATATTAATATTAATATTACTAACACCAATATTCACATTCAAATTATTATTACTATTAATATTATTATTACCATTAATAACACTAACATTACCATTATTAATATTATTATTATTATTATTACTATTAATATTACTATTACTTATATTATTAGTAACATGGCCCACTCCAACACTACGGAGACCTCCGAAAAGAGTATCCCTTGACAAAAACTGAAATTCATCATATCCGATGTATCTATATAACCCAAGAAGAAGATCTGACCCTCCTCCCTCACCATTTACACTATTCATACTTAAAAATGGTAATTGAAGCATACAAGATATTATACATGTATATGGATGATAAAGTACCTGTAACCAACTCGGTGAAATAGCACAGGACAAACGTAAAATCAGTCTTATTCTTGAATAAAAATCCCTTGAAAAGAATCCCAAAATATAATTAGAAGCATCCTTAAAAATATTGGCAGCAATTGAAGACTTGAGATTGCTCTCTGACTCGAATAGTCTTTTGCTATAATCCAAAATATTCAAATGAGAAAATTTCTCTGCTCCTATTGTAAGTATTACATAACTATATGGCCTATACTTACATGGAAATATCGAAGAAAAGAATGCTTCTAATCCACAAAACATCATGTAAGTAACTAATAATAAATTATAAATCTGACAAACCTCATCATCTGATAACGGTACCTCATAAAGACCACTACCATTCTTTAATGTCTCTTGATCCATTATTTGAATATTAAAAATCTCAATTAATCTATCTAAAAGAGATAAATATTTCTCCAAAACTAACCCTGTATATTTCTTCCATTTTTGAAGTTTCTTATATAATTGAATACATTCTTTATTATTATTTGTTGTTAGAGCTGAAATTGATGAACAAGTTGTTGCTGATACAGATTTTGGTGAATTTGTAGATGAATGTGGAATATTCTCATCATCAATATCTGAAATTAAATGGGAAATACAAATACCCAATGAAGTTAATAATATTAAATAGCTCTCAAAAGTCATAGATGGAATCTCAACTTTTTGTTTTGAATCTGAAAATAATCTTGAAAATGAATCCATGCATTTAATCACCATATAATCCAAGATCTGATTTTCAAAACATGTCTTGTTTTGAGAAAGCTTTAATAATGCTAATGCTCCCACATGATCTTGTTCTAGAGCCAATGGGAAAAAATGGTCTTCTTGAATCAATAAAAGTGATCTAAATATGTACTTGAGACCTTTTAGAGTGACTAAGACAGATTTGTCATTAAACCATACTGAGCTTACTCCAATCAAAGTAATTAAGGTACATAATAATTGTCTAAATAATCTTTCATAAATTCTAACTCCATCATCAATAATAATTCTCTGTTCAACCAATCTATTTTGACCATTTTGCAAATAAATATCCATTAATCCTTCAAATTCACTTGTAACTTGGAAGATTTTAAGCATAACAGCATCAAAAAGAAGTCTTGTTTGTTCAAAATAGTCGTTTTCATCTCCAAGAACTAGTCCACGATTATTAAGCTCTTTATTAATTGCATCTTCATCATCCAGCTTTAATGAAACACTCACTAATTCCAGTAAATTCCTTATTTCCTCATCATCATTATACACTCTTTTATTACTATTAACATGATTATCCATAAATTCTATCAATCTTGAAGGTTTTAGAGGGAAAGATGTTAATCCTTTCTTTATGATTGCACTAAATGCATGTAATATAGACTCAAGACGTATAATGAAGCTTTTAACTTGGACATTACTAGTATTTTGGTTGGATCTTTTCATTTTAATTTGTCCAGATCCAATATAATTAACCAAATTGAAGCCATTTAGATGAAGAAAGATATCTTTCAGAAACATTTGGAAAGAATAGAAAGGTAATAAATACCTAATAACACCCCTTTCATTTACCAAAAGATGATTATGTTGATCATTTCTATTAAGGGTAATTCTTGTATTATTGGGAGATTCTGGAAAGAATATTGCATTTCTAACAGCATCCCTAATTGATTCCCTGATCTTTAAATGATTAGATTTTTTTTGTGAAAATTTTGGAAAAAATGATTCAATATGATCTTCAAAATTGTAAAGTTCAGCAGGAAACTCTCCTAATTCAACTATTGACCAAACAAAGTATCTTTGAATTCCAACAAGTCCAATTTCACTAATATCTACGGGTTTATTAGAGATATTCTCTCTTTGGCTTCTAATTTTATTGAAACAGTTTTCCAAAGGCTTAAACTTAGGCTGATTTATACTTTTCAGAAGAAATTCTAAATAAGAAATACAAGAAGAGGAAATTCTTAGTGAGTTACAAATACTTCCCCAGGCAGAAATTGAGAGTAATATGTATTCTGATGATCCCCTTAAAGTTATGAAAGAAAGACAGCACATCAAGTAATGTATTTCTCGGCGATATTTTTGAAAAATATGGCTATTTTCATCACCTAACGTAATATTAAAATCTGGTACGTCCATGAGATGCTGTTGTTGATGCTGGTGTTGTTGTTGGTTGAGATTATGATGACGGCTAAAGTCAAATTCAGTTAATTGCATTGAATCAGGAATTATTGAAATTCTATTGTGAACATTATTTCTGGAAAACTTACTAAACCCCAATTCTGGTTCATTACTATTAAGAGATTCGGGCATAAATAGTAACCCAGAATCCAAGGCCGAATTACCTCTATAATCAACTCCCAAAGTTCTACCAAAATTATCTACAACTCTCCTATGAATTTCTGAATCCAAGCCTAAGTTCAAATCCAACTTGAGTCTCATACCCATATCTATATCAAAATCACTACCAATGTACATCTTATCTCGACTAATAGATTTCAAATTTTGTGGTTGAGAATAACCACAAGTTATCATTATTGGTGCAGAAAATGTGGTTCTATTTACCTTAGAGATTTTAGAAGCTTTAGAAATTGTTTCAAAAACAATTTTCATAAAAGTCATAGAGCAAATATTTATCCATTCTTGATATAACTCATGAATAGAAGGGTCCTCGAATTCTAGTTTGTCAATTTCAGAATTTAAAGGAAGATCCATTAAATCAAATATTAATAGTAAAGGTACTACTGAATGAGAAAAGATTTTAAAGTACTTGATTAGAACTTTAATCCAATTTAGGTTTGTATTAAGTAGGAATAGTTCTTCTCTTAGTGTGAAAAACGTAGAATCTTTAGTCATTGAGCTTGATAATAGCATAGATGAGACCAAAATATTCTTAGACAAAACAGAAATTGGTATAGAATATTTGTTCGAAAGACTGAGATGAGCTGAATAGCCTTCTAAAAAGGTTAGAATAATTTCTGAAACCTCATCACTTATTTGGTCTCTTCTGATAGGTAAAAGAGCCATTTCAAGTATACTAGGAAATTTCGAAATATCAAAATAGGAACTATTATGGAACTCACTAAATCTTCTGAGACTGATTTCCTGAGAGGCAGAAACCCACTTAAGTGAAGTTTGAATGATAATTGGTGCAATGAAGTCAACAAACTTTAATCTAATCCCTTCACCATCGTAAAAGAGTGAATAATCTCCAAAAATGTGTTCGGGTTTATATTGGCAAAAATAGAGGTTTATAAGTTTTTCCATTTGTTCAAGAACAACATTTGACATGGAGAGAATAACTTTCTCAATGGTTGCTTTTTTATTAGGAGTCAGAAAATTGGGTCTCTCAACATTTAAAAGATAGAGATTGGCAACACCTTCAAAATACCTTAAATATGATATGAAGTTTCCAATTTTGAGGTTATTTTGAAAAGGAAATCTATGAAAGAGCTTATTTTCAAAAACAGCTGGCTGCTGCTTATTATTGATAGATTCTCTAGAAGCCATTTTGCGGAGACAGTCATACTCGAAAGATAAGTCACCAGAAATAACTTCAATATTGCAGACAATATTACGAATATAGTTAACCGAATTATTAGAAAGAATGATTAATAGGCTTGTACATGAACTCATCATAATCGCTAGATCTTGATTTCCAGAGAAGACAGTTTGAATATGATGGGTCAAACTCATGCTTAGATTGACTAGAGAACTATCCAATCTCTTATCAACAGAGAGGATAATTTGAGAATGTTTAATTAATGACTTGAAGAGGAGATGAATTACAAAAGCTAGAATTTCTGACCTTTCCTTGCTTAAAAATGGGGTTCCAGTACTAGAACATGAGAGCAAAGGAGGAATAATATTGAACAGAAATAGAATAGAGTGTGGATTCGTATATAATCTTGAAATAAATGATTCAGCCGGAAATTTGTCATTACAGTGAAGAATCATAGAGTTTAAGCTTAAGGAGGAGTTGTTATGGTCTATCAATCTTGATTTATAGAGTTTCACTTCCTCTAGAAATTCGGTTTCTCTGGCGGAAACATTCTTCGTTAATGACTCCATTAAAGTATGGTCAAGTGTTAGAGGCCAGCTATTGTTAAACTCCTTGTTTTTTCTATGTTTTCTTTTATTGCTATACATTGTTTCCATAAGAAAAAATATTAAAGGTTAGCAGACTTAACACATTAAATAAAGTTTTAATATTGGTTTCAGATATGTACACTATAATACTCCAATGTACATAAATAATCAGCCAAATAACATTAAAATATTTAAAACTTAAGTGAGACAGATTATTATTTTAAAAAATTCGTATTAGTTAAAGCTTAATTAGTCTTATCTTCCAATCAGTAGTGAAATGAAGCTAATTTTCTTTCCTTTCACAAAGTTCCTTAACCGAATCTCTATCTGAGAGAAAGAATAAATTGGCATCCCTCCTAAATACCTTGTTGTCTTTTGGCAACCTCTTTAACTCATATAAGATCGCCTCTTTTATCTGTAAGCTCGAGTAAATCAACCCAGGCTTGTGATGGCCATCCATAGATCCCCACTGGATTCTCTTTAAACACAAATTTTATAGGAGAATCAGTGTTCTTACCTTTTATAGATTAATTTAGCTTTCTGTTCATTGCCTGTAAAAAAAGTTTGGCTTTATCTGGGCGGGTAAATGTCTACAAATTACTATAAGTGGGGCACGCAAAAAATGATCACAATGTTTCCCGCCTAAAGCGATTAAATAATTTTGATTATATTTGACAGTGAAAGTAATAGTAAAAGATTAGTATTGAAAACGAAATGGAAATAGTGGAATAAAAGGATAAATAAATAAATAGTGTTTTATTGAGTACGAATAGCAGTAGGTATAAAAGTATGCGTGAAATAATTATTGAATAAAATTCTAGGAATTAGCGGTAATAGTAGCAACGTAATAGTAATTTATATCAGTTTAATAATAGAGTTAGTTTAGTAATAATAATCAGGATATGAGAAGAAATTTATTTTCTAGTTGAGGAGCTGCCTCAAGTAAAAACTGAGAGCATTAAACGTACTATTCTCTTTTCGAAGGAAAGATTTGTTTGTAAATTTGTTCCTTTAATTTGAGATTTCCTTTGGTTGATTTCTTTTTTTTTTTTGAATATTAGCTTGCTATTCGTTGATGAATTTCTTAATTATTGAATATAAACAAGCATCTAATAGAATATATTATTAAGTACAATTTTAGGTTTTTAGCTTCACCCTGAGCTCAGGGGACACTGATTCTAGTTTAAATTAATATTTGGTTTTTTGTTCTTATATTAGAAAAAAAGACTTTGCCCTTTTATAATATTTTAGGTGAAATTTAGGATTTTTGGCTTGAAGAAAAAATGGTGTTAGTCGCTATCCATTATTTTTTTTTGTTACTAATATTGCTATTACTATTATAGCGTTAATATTAACAGTAAAATCACTATTTCTAGTTCTGGTTGAATTTGCTACTGCTGATAATAATGTAAAAGTTGTTTAGTAGCCAGTTTAATTGCTATCTTCATTTTGGAGTCTTGTTTTTATATATTCAGTTTAATCTTAACAATATTCCACGAACTTTTCTATTTAACAATTACTCAAGATCCGTTAAATTACTTTTTGATTTTTGTATTACATGCAATATTTGCATGTAAATTGTTATGTAATTTTAAAAGAACAAACTATGGCACGCCGGTATTATGTGGACAAGAAAAATTCAAATAATATATTGCATGTTAACATAAAATGACAATTAATATTATTCTGTGTATATTAAAAATAAAACATTTCTAAAATTAAGTGATTATTGGGGATTGAAACAGAATGAGATCAGGAATATGAAAAAGGAAAGTAATCAAATAAAAATAGGCCATCATTAGAATATGTTTAAATATTAAAGGAAAACTCTATTTTAATTTTCCCATATAATTTTGTGTGCACTCATGTGGGGAGAAAAGAGAAAAAAATTATGTAATGAGACTCATGAGAAAATTTGGAACTTAAATAATTCTCGAAAGAAATAAATGAATACAGGTATTAGTAATGTACAAACATTAACCGAATGACCATTTTCTTATAATATAACTGGTTAAAAAAAAAACTTCAATTCTCAGATTAGGGAAGTAATTAAAATAAATATAATACATTAAAATGCATATAGGGGACTTGGCGCCGTGTGTATATACAAATGTATTTAAAGAAAAAATAAAAAATAGTAAAAATCGACATTAGACGGGGTAAGCCTGAAATGGAGATGAAAATTGCAATATAAAGTACTGGCTGAAAGAAAATTATAGATTGAGAGAGTGGTCAATATTGATAATTAAAACTAGTGGGAAAAGTGAGTGTATAAAACAAGTTAGTAAGGGTGGAATTCTTATATATTTATAGAAAGTTATTGGGCAAGAATAAAGGTTACAATTAATCTATTTAAGAAATAAGAAATCAGGTTTTAAATATTGAAAGAAAATAATATTTAATTTTTATATATACATGTAGAAGAGTGAGTAGCAGGCTTAAAGGTGGTAAAGGAAATGGAAATCAAGTTTCTGTTTGTGATGTTTGTATATTATGTGGGGGCGGTGTTTGGTGAATCTGTAGATTATTCTCCTCCTGTAAGTATACAAAATATGGATGAAAGTATACTAAGATCGAGAGGAAGTAATGAGAATGAAATGAAAAATGAAGCAGGTGGAATAACAACATTGGAATCAAAAAATGATGAAGTCGATTCATTTCAGTCAAATAAAGCAAATGAAATTGATATAGATCAAATTTTTGCAAATAATTTGGAGTTGAATAATTTGTTATTAGGTATTAAAAAGGATTCAACTCTGGAATCCCCAACTCATACAAAAGGAAGAAGATTTCAAAATGAAATGGACTTTCAGAAAACATTGGTCTTTCAAATTGAAGAAAATGATCGCTTTGTTGATTCAGATATAGATATTTTTGCAACTCTAACTTTACCTTTTTCAACATTTGAAGGTCATAAAATTGATTATTTTATCATTTCAACTCCACCATCATATACCTTACCAAAAGCTGGGAAATTATGTAAATGTGTTAAACATTTAGAAGAAATTAGTCCAGAAATAATGAAACCTGTTCCAATATCAATAAAATGTACAACAGTTTCTGCAAATGGGTCAATTTACTTTGTAATTCAAAATAAAGATGAATCTGCACTCCCTGCTCCAGGTTATTATAGATTTCAATTAAAGGTAAGAACACCAGTGGAAACTCGAAAGGTTCAGAATGATCCCAAGAATTTCTGGTGGTTATCTAAAATTCGCTTTTCGTCGGGCCACTATATAACAAAAGTACATGAAAATACACGTTTATTACTTAAGGCTGAATGCCAATGGAGTCCATGGAGAAGAGAAACTGGATGCAGTTCAACTTGTGATTCTGGGGTTGAAATGTGGAGAAGAACTTTACTTTCAGGTAAAAATGAGGAATTATGTGGTGGAGCTTATCAGAAGAGAGAATGTGGAGATACACCATGTAATGTAAGTTGCCAATTAGGTCCATGGGAAGAATTAGTTCCTTGTACTGTTAGTTGTAACGCTTCAAAAAATGGAGGAAAAAGAATTGAGTATAGAAAAATATTATTAACAAATTCAGGTAACGGCCCAGATTGTGAAAAGTTATATCCATGGGATAAAGAAAAACAAATGGGATGGAATGAATCTTTAGGTATGGTAATAAAATACTCAGAATGCCCGTTAGAAATGAGACAAGATTGTAAGAAGGAATTTGGATGTAGAGTTGAACGAGAAAATTTAAGAACTATAGCTTCAGAATATCCATGGGGATTTTGTCCATTCCCATGTGGTGGATTTGGTAATATTACAAGTATTGTACAAGTAGCAAATGGAATACCAAGATGGATTGGTGAGAAGTTATATCCAAAAACATTTGAATATCCATGCATAAGTAATAAGAAACCAATTGTTGAGTATAAACCATGTAATAAAAACCCATGTGGTGATTGTATGGTCTATCTAGAAGATTCCGAGTTAAATAAGACCACTAATATTTGGGTGTTTTTTCATTTATTCCAAGAAGCTGATGAAATTAGGTTTGTATTACCTGATGGTTTCACATTTTTAAAAAGTAATGACAATGAATTAATCCATAATATAGCACATGATAAAAATTTAAAATTTGATAATAATACAAAAATAATAACAAGCATTAATAAAGCTATTAAGGTCAATCAAACTAATTATATTGACATTATTAAACAGTCATTTAATCGTATAATATTTGGTGATGTTAGTCCAAGTACAGATACATCTGGATCCAAAAACGATGAAAATAATAATAGTAATAATAATAATATTAATAATAATATTAATAATAATAATAATACTCATAATATCACAAAGTGTCAGGTTACTGCTGCATCTTTTGGTTCTATTAAGACATGTCAGTTAATTAATCATCATTCTAAAAGCAATTATATGATAGAGAATTACAAAGAAGCTTTAGTTATTCTAGATAGTACTGTTCAACCTACAAGGTCTATATTTAGTGAGCAATCTAAAAATGAAAAACCAAATTGGTTATTTATGCCTTTGAAAATAGGTAATGCAGAAGGTTTAGTATTACCAAACGGAAGATTAAATAATGAACAATTTAGATTATATGCACGCGGTTCAAACTCTTTAAAAGAGCCAGAAGAATTAGTATGTAACCTTCAAACTAAAGTATTATTACCACAGCCATGCCGTGTAGATTTGTTACCAAAAAATGGAAAAGATTGCATAAAGTGCTCAAAAACTAATGTTTTTATTATAGAAGCTTATCGCCAATTTACATCTCCAAAAAATGGAGGCGCATGCACAGTTCCATCAGAATTAAGAGTTGATGAAACTATTATAAATGTTGAATGTATTAATGCATGTCCAAATGGTAGAAGATATGTAATGGGAACTGATAAATATTTAAAGAAAATTGGGATAAATTCATAGTAATTACATTTAATTTTGGATAGTTGGATCATTTGATTCATTATCTTTGGCCATTTCAAGATCTTTATTACAATTTTCATCATTTTTGCTATTGGTTGAATCCGACACAGTTTCTGTATTTTGAGAAGTTGAATTTTCATCCCTTTCTTCTTCAAAAATGTATAATAAGTTCTCTGCGACAAAAGAACTAAGAATCCCAAAAAGTATAAAAATGAGGAATAAAAAAAAGAAACAAATAAAATAGATGAATGCTATATGCCATTTATTTAACAGGATAATAATAACAATAAAGAAAATAATATCTTTAATAATATTTAAATAATTACATACCATATATATTTTGAGAGCTATAATACTATAGGTATATGCAGTGATAAAACCAATAAACCCCATTATAATATTAGTAATTGATATGATATAAAGTAATATATAAATAATATATAATTCAACATATGAAGCTTCGGATAATTCTGGGAATAAATGTTTTAAAAAGAATGGATAACTTTTGAATGTTCTTAAACAAATTATTAATATTAAAATATTAAATGCAAGTAAACATCCACTCCAAATACTGATAAATATATATAGAGCTTTCTTAATACTAGAAGTACAACAGCAATACTCTTTAAAGACATCCAAAGATCTTCCATGAGTTCTGGAGATAATTTTTGACCAAATTCTTGGTGGAAATAACGAGATTAACTGTGGTACCATATTATTCTCAATATTATTATTACTATACTTTAAGTTAAATGTTTGTAATATAATATATATTTATATATATATTATTTATTAAGAAGAGAATATGGTATGAATAAATATTAACACTTTGAGGTAAAATTAAAGGAGTAGTAATACTAATCCTAAGTGATTGAGTATTGTTATTGGCAGAATTAATTTAAGAATGATTGGAATTAATGTGTTTTGTATTATTAATTGTTTGAATTATAATAAAGATATTGTCAAAAAAGAAGGAAATAAATGGAAAAAACGGAAAAAGACTTTACCCAAATATCTTTATTAGTATTATTTAATTTATCTGTTTCGATTCATTTGTATTAATTTATTTATACACACATGTTCAAAAAAATATGTATTTTTTTTACATTTAGTAGTATATAATTTCAACTGTTAATTAGTTCTTTAACTCTCTAGTTTCTCTTAACTTAAAATGTGCTAGTTTTATAATTAAGGCTTTTCTAGAGTTTCTTTTTCTTTATTTAATTTTAACTTTATTATTATTTAAAATTGACAATAATAAATATAATACATGTATAGGCGGGAAAATCATGCAAAAAAATTAAAAATTTTATATGGTTTAAATAATTAAATTACATTTAAATGACTTAGAATAGATTCGAAAGGTAGATGAAAATCAGAATGAAAAATTTATTCAAATTCTGAGAGCATTTTCATTAAATTTTCAATCATTTGATCAATTGAAATTGCTTTAGTTTCAGATAAATTAATATCCAGAGATTTGTAGAACTCCTCAGTTTCTGAGCTACTGAATGTGTCAGTTCCAATGGATGTTAATCCATACTTAAGTAAATCAAGGTCGACTTTGCCGGACTTTCCAACATCTAATAGATCAAACATATTCTTAATGCTTTCTTTAGTAGGGGGAATACCAAATTTGGGTTTTCCTGCAAATGATTTTAAATCCTATAAAAATAAATATAAATTTTATTAAAATATAATAAATATACGTGGTTCTTATATATTATATTATTTTCTGAATTGGTTTTTTTACTCATTACATGAAGCTTTTTTCTCTGAACTGTATATTTTTTTAAAAACTTGACTTACCTCAATGGTTAGAGATTTTTTGGAGTTGGTCTCCATATATTCCTGTACTGTGTTCTCACTAAATTGAGTTAATTAAATATTGTCTAATCTATTTTTTCTGGAGCATTACATGCAATATTTATTGTGCTCCCTTTGTTGTAACAAACTTACTTAACGAAGAAGCCCGCCAGAATAAGAATTCTATGTGACAGTTTTGCATCGAATTGGTTTTTTTTTTCACAATCAAAAATTTTTGCACAATTTTCAATCTAATAATGGGAATTCAGTTAGAAATAAAATTGATGATAAAAAAGGAATACTTGGAGCAGTTTACTTGCGTGAATAATAAAATATTGAGTTGTTGAATTTGTAATGTGTAAACATGTTGTATAAATGCTTGCTTGATTCTTTTTTTTTTGAGCAGAAAAAAAAGAAAAGAATCAGAGCTATGGAATAAAAATATTCAAGTATTCCTTAGGACAAAACTTACATCAGCAACTGGCATCTTTTTTTATCTTAAGTGAATATATATTGTCAAATTGACTTATTAGTACAAATATTTCCACCTAATTTATATTGCTTTTTCAAGCTATACTTAAATTTTAAATAACAGCAATTGTTAAACTACTTCATACAGATATTTATCAGTATAAATTAAGCTTCCTAAATATAAATTAATCTATTTCTAACCCATAAATATATTTTACACACGTCTTTTATTTTTTTCTTATTTTAATATAACTGCACACAAATGGCGGCAATTATCTGATCACTAATATTTGATATTTAAAATATTTAATTGACTATATATATGGAAAAAAAACTGAATAGTAACCGCCTAATTAAATTAAGAAAAAAGAATTATACAAGGTATATATGTGTTGTGTTTTGTTTTAATGAGGTCTTACACTCGATTTGGTTGCAAATTACCATAAACTTTATCTTATTGTAACTTATACTTAGAAAGGATTAGTGGGAATGAAACTATGAGAGAAAATAAAAATAGGTGTAGAGGGGAAATTATTATAGGAGAAACAATTTAAGAGTATAGTTAATTATAATAAGATAAGGTAAAAATGGGTTTGACCAAATCACAAGTTAGAATGAGTATTGGGAAGCTCAAAAAAATTCTTCAAAGAAGTCAATTTACTCAATTATTTAATAATTTAAAGCTGACCAAAATGTAATTTTTGACTTTTTATTAAACCGGTGACTGCCTATGTATTATAACAAGTACTAAAATTGAGAATAAAAGATAGAAAGAGGAATAATAAGCCAGATTTACACAAAATACTGAGAATTTAGGTGTAATTCATCTCTCAATCAACCTCTATGTCAAATTTCAGAGAGTTAAAGTTTTAAACACTTATTTTTTTTCAAATATTGTTTTAATACTAAAAATATATAATATTAACTGGTTGGCGCCAAATAGAATAGTCACACATTATTGTGAATGCATGCACAGGTGCAAATAGGAGGGGTATTGTATTGCAAATTGATTATATATATATATATTATAAATGCATAGACAAACTAAAATTTGCTCCAAGAGTTGAAAAAGAGGCAAGAATAAATCATTTGGAGGATGAGTAAGACTAAAAGACTCCTTTTTGGTGCTTACTCACTTATAAGCTTGAGTGTTATTGTTTTATTTAGTGGAGGAAGAAGTGGCCCCTTTAGTAGGAACTCCACATATCTGTTTGAAAAAATCTTCCAAACAGAGCTTTCAGAAAGAACGTTTGGGCTAACTTTGTCCCTGAAAGAAAAACAGACCAGATTTACCTTCGAAAGCATTTCGTTAGTCCAACTTTTCAAAAAAAAATCTAGCAAAACCAAAGAGCAGAAGAAGGCAGAAAAGGAGGCAAAAGCTCAAAAGAAAAAGGAAGAGAAAGAAAAAAAGACGGCAGAAAAAGAGGCAAAA